TAGAAACAGTGACTGGAACTACGAGGACCTAGGATGTGGCCATTCACCATAGGAAATGCACTGTTTCTCCATTGTTTTTTTTGGGGGGGGCACCTGCTGGGAACCGGGCCTAGCATCCCTGTGAATACTGTTTGAATGCGCAAATGCTTCCCCATGTTACGGCCAGGAGACCCGTGCTAGCATTGATTGCTTCCTTGAGGAAGGATTGACTACCTTCTTACCCCGAAAAGAAACGTACATACATTGTATATGAATACAATGTATGCACATTGTATATGAATACAACGTATGGGGTATGTTGTATTTGAATACAATGTACATACGTTGTGCAACAAATTTTGAGGTCCAACTTTTCCAGGGCGGCCCTTAACCTGGTACGTTGTATTCAACTCTGGGCAGGTCATGTTGTTTTGTCTGTTCGACTCTGTTGCATTTTTCAGGAGGGGGTTGGTCCCCTCAAGGCCTCAGTCAGTCCCCGTAAGTGAAACTGGGTAATACTCCAAGCAAGTTCACTCCCAGGTAGACTATGAGAACCCCATTCTCATCTCTTTGATTGGAAATATATGCCGATTTCGGTGAAAGGAAAAAAAACAGAGACCTGAACGTTCTACTCTCGTTCTTTTTTCCCCTCAAATTTGGTGGCGGACTTCGACAATACTCTCAGGCAAAAGATGTTTGTATTGCATTGTTCTTCGATTTTATTTTATTTTTATTTTTTTGAACGTTTTTAAAAATAGTGAAAAATGTCTCAAATGCCAGACTTCGAATACAACGTACGTATGTTGTATTTGAATACAACGTACGTACGCTGTATTTGACTGTACGTTCTATTCGGAAAAAAAAGAGCCATTTCTAAAAGTCCGATTTTCAAAGGTTGTTCGAATAGAGCGTACGTACAATTTTTTGGGGGGTTAGAAGGTAGCAGTTGAGCCCATTCTTTTCAGATTGTCCCTCCCCCCTGTCGATTGTACGGTTTTTTGTACCCCTTTAAAAAACAAACCGAAAACCAGCCCAAGGCAACCTTGTCCTTTGTAATAACCTACTGCCAAAATTCCAAGTGTTTAAACAGAATCTAAGCTATAACTGGTATCTAGTCTGGTCGGAGCTCACATCCCAAGCCAAAGTCGCTGATGCATCCCTCCTGTCGCTGGTCCTCCACTTCAGTTTGAGTGAGATCCCGTCCAAAGTACCCACTTTCCCTTCCCGAAGTGCGTCCTTCAGGAATTTGTCCATTCCGCTCGTGCCAGTCAGCTATGTACTCGATTTGCAGCATTTGCTGGATTCCTTCCCACGTCTCCTCCACTGGTACCCATTGCCCGTCTGTAGCTTCCTTGCATCTTCTTTTCCACACCCACCACAGCACCAGAGGTCTCATTCTCCTGTACAGCTTCCGCTCCCACTTTTCCAACCCTCTGGGTTCTGCGAAACCCGCTAGTGTGGCCAGATGCCGAGTTCCCATGTCTTGTAGGTGATGGTACTCCAAAGCTCCCTGGCCTAACCTCAGATGTGTTCCGCCTTATGACAGTGAAGGAGGCGATTGCAATGGGAATACCATGCATGAAACACTCGGACACAAATCCCTTATTGCACCGCACTCACAAATCTCACATGAAGTTCAAAGCAGTCTCAATGATCCACGCGAACTTGGCCGTCTTCTCCGTTTTCAGTGGCTATGTCTGGTCAGCTCGGCATGCATGTAGGCCTCTCTCTCTCTCTCTCTCTCTCTCTCTCTCTCTCTCTCTCTCTCTCTCTCTCTCTCTCTCTCTCTCTC